TGCAATCGACAATGTCATTATTGAATTTTTGCTGTTAACAAACTTTTGTGCTTAAAATTTATTTAATTCTCTTTGTCGAATTCCAATGAATTCTTTTTGTCGATTTCCCAATACGGCCCAAATAATTTCCTGCCTAGTTGCATGTTTACAAAACCCGGCTCTGCGAATTCTTTCGGATTTACCCAAAGTCGCTCCCCGGCTGTCAATGACCTTCAAATACCAAAGCAGTAAATTATTCAAAACAATGATTTTTTTTTGCGTTTTGAAATTTATTTAAAATCGGCAAAGAATTTTTTTTTTCATTCCTCAGGGCATATTTTAGACTATTTTACATTCCAACTTTCGGATTCATAACAATTCTATCCACCCATCAGTTTATCAGAAATTTTCATTTTTTTTTTTTTTTTCCTTCGCTTCATAATTCAATTCATGTTTTCACCTTAACGATTTTAACATTTTTAACCTTTCCAATTCTGCAATTCCTATACAGACTTTCTATATGAACCCTTTCAATCCTAATTTCATATTACCAGTGTCACAGCTGAACTGCTTAGCATTCGCACCGGAAACTCTAATACGAACATTTCAAAGTGTTTGGGTATCAATCTGAGGACAATAAAGAGGATTCAGAAGGTTTAGATGAGCCTTAGGTTGATTACGAAGGTAGGACAGCTCGGAAAAACTCAGTAATCGTCTTGATTAGAAAAGAACTCCCAAATTTGTTGGTGAGAGCCTCAATCAAGGTGTTTATGGCTGATATTCTGTTTGAATTCAACTCGGTATTTAACACTAGACGCTTACAACTAAAGTATTTTTTATTAATTTCACCTTCATCTGAGTATGCTGTATTCCATCTCCTTAGCTGATGCCTAAGTATTTATAGGCTTCTTCTATAACCTTTGTGAAAAAATCTAGATCTATTGAGTGTGTTCCTATAATTCTCCCTTTCTTATTTCTGTGATTCTCCATTTCTTCTTCTTCTTCTTCTTCTTCTTCTTATTATTATTATTATTATTACTAATACTGCTAATACTAATACTACTTTATTCATTGAGTATTAACTAATAGCTTCAACTAAAGATTATATGAAAACAATTCTCAATTCTCCTATATTCAGCTAAGATTCACCTAAGATCTAGATAATCAGAACCTAGAAGCTGATCTCTTCCCTGACTGGGTTCTAACTGCTCATTGGTGAAAATCTGGCTTGTAACATTCAATACCTTCAAAACCAAGCTAATAACGTTTTATCATCACCGAGCAGTCTATCATTTTCTTTTTGCCTAATTTTACCCTATATCAGTCGCAAGAGCCACTCAAGGCAGAGGATCACTGAATTAAGGCGTAAAGATGTAAAAATAAAGTACATATTATGAGGATATGTAGAACAGATAACGGCTGACACTAGCCTTGAAAATATTAAGATTGTAGTCACAGAACTAACCTCTCGGAAGTCTGTTCCACATAACCATAGTGAGAGTTCTGGAAAAGAAGGTGTCTGGGTAGAACGTCCATTTTACGAAAGTAGTAAGAAGGGAAAGGTGAGTTGAAGCTGTGCACGTGGCATGACGCGTCCTAGTCGTGAATGTCTGAACTGGTGGAATAAAGAACATTTTCCAGGGAAATAGCAATAGAGAAGCGAGGGGCCAGTAACGTTTCGTCTGTGGGGAAAGGGGTTGTAGGATGGGAAATAATTCATCACACACAAGACCGCGTAATCTCTTTTGAATTCAGTCCATGGTGGACCGTGGAGACTTGCTAACACCAGCCAAGATATGGTAGCAAGACTTCATTTTTGGTCGAACCAAGAGCCGACAATTCTTCTGGCATCTTCAGCAATGGCACGAATATACGAGTTCCACGTGGTACCTGGAGTGAGCTTTACACCCGGTAGACGTTCGAAGGAAAAATCCTCATTGGGAGTACAACCGTTCATAATCGATCCTGACTTGGCATCTCGACTTCACTCAATTTCTCACCAATATTATATGGCTTCCCTCTGTCTTTTTCTACAAATATTTTCATGGTAACTGTTCTGATGAGCTTTTTTTTTCCTGGTTCCCCGACTACATGAATTGAAGCGTGCTACTAGATTGGCATCTAGGTCCCACTTGTTTACTGTTGAAATAGCTAAATGCACCCGCCACTTCTACTCCAACAGTTTCTTTTCTCGCACTTGCCGCCTGTGGAACTCCCTTCCGTTTACTTATCTCCTTGACAATATGCAAAAATTTAAACACAACGTCAATCGCCATCTTCATCCCATTCATCTTTTGGCCTTTCCCCAATCCTCCCTATACTCAGTCTTTTCTCTCACTTTCACTCCCTATAACCCCCTGCGTACAAGTGGCATTTCCGCCTTGCTTGGGGCGAAATCAATTTAAAAAATAGAATAGTTTACAGTAAAATGTACTCTATTTAGCTAGGAATACATTACAGTTTGGGAGACTAATATGCTGTTTTTTTTTATTATTTCGATGGGACTTAGTACACACAGAAAAATTAGCTTTCATGCATTTCCCAATACAAGAATGCATCTCTTTTCCATTGAACCTATGAGTTAAATAGCACAGCACACTACGCACTCTAGCCTTGGTAGACAACCAATCTAGAAGACAAACAACTCGGAATTTAAATCCGGTTGAGTATCTTAGACGTGGCACAAGGCCAAAAGTATGAGGCACCCAGTGAGAATCGAACTCACTTTTCAGTCTTAAAAGATCTAGCAAGACAAACTTTCTAACCTATGTCGAAGTGTCCCAAAAACGTTTGAATATGGAGCAAGCAAAGCCACCCCGGGAAAAAACTTGCTCCGGAACCACCTGTGGCAACACATAGCCTGTGGCCCTAACATGGTGAGGTTGTGACCATATACTCCACAGGGAGTATAAGATCTAGAAAAATTGATTGTCTTTTTTATAGCAATTTTGGGATTTCATGAACTTTCATTACTGACTGTGTCGTCATCGGGTTCATTTTGACAACATAGTCGACGCAGTCCTCAATACTAAAATTTTCTTTTCGTCCCCCTTTAAGGGTTTCTTATTTTTATTTATTTTTTTTTTTTTACCTTTGTAATATTATTTTTACGAATCAGTTTTTCGAAGGACAATATCTTGATATTATCTAATAACTGGCCCTTATGTTTTTTATACCGGTGAAAATACATTAAATATTGTTACTACCTGTTTTACACCTCAAGTAAATAGACTTGAAATTTTCCAAGTTTTCTTTTCTTTTTTTTTTTTTTCTTGCAACTATTTGTTGTTAAATAAAGCTTTCTTCACAATAGTAAAATAAATAAAAAAGAAATGGATCGGGCAGATAAGTGTCGACTGTGTCATTCTAAAATATTGTTTCAAAAAACGAAAACTAGTTAGTGTGTAGAATATAAGACCTACTTTAAATGTGTAATCGAAAATACTATTCAGTATAAACTAGGTAGACAGACGGTTCAAAAAACATTATAAGCGCAAACTTTGAATTTAGAACTCGATTTATATTGGTCAACAATCAACGGAAATATTCTCCCTCCTCAAACGACACACAAGGGATGATTTTCGTTTTAAGTTCCAATGTTTTCTCTATTTTGTACATACTATTATCGATGCCATTTTCGGTTGTAAAAATCCATTCGTTGTATCGACCTTATTATTACTATTTTCACAAATAATATAAAAATTTCACTGACCTTTTTGCAAATTTTTTCGTGAACTTTCTATTATTTCTATATTTATTAGCGCCATTTAATTATTATTATTATTATTATTATTATTATTATTATTTTCTTTGATTTCTGGCGTTTACACATTTCTTTCCGGGTCCCGCCCAGGGACCTAAGGTTAGAAATGGCGTCATGACACTTTCCACTGACAAAAAAAAAATTACATAGATAAAGCCCTTCGTAAAGTGTGGGCTGTACTTGTCAGAACAATTTTTTGTATCTCCTTGAGGCATGGACTTCCAGGAATCCCTTCAATTAGTCTACTGCAATTTTTCCAACCAATCCTAGGACTCCAACTAAAACAGGGATTGTTGATGTTCCCATATGCCACATTTTCGAGATTTCTATTTCAAGGTCCTTGTATTTTGACAGCTTTTTGAATATCTACAAAGATACATTGCAGTCATCAGGGACTGCCATATCAATAAGGAGGCATCGTTTTTGTTTGTGGTCTTTAATAACAATATCTGGCCGGTTGGCCTTGATTGTTCTGGCAGTGTGTATTGTGTAGTCCCATAGAATTGTAACAGGTCCTATCTCCGTAACCGGGTCTGGGTGGTGTTCATACCAGTTTTTTTCAGTTTCCTTCCCGTAGAAGTTGCAGATTTTCCAGTGCAGATATTGGCCCACTCTGTCATGTCGGGTTTTATATTCAGTGGGTGTCAACACCGTGCAACCTGATACAAGATGATCAATCGTTTCTGGATATTTATCACAGAATCTGCATTTTGGGCTGACACAATATTTTAGTATATGTGCTTGATAATTCCTAGTTAGCAAGCATTGGGCCTGCGCAGCAAGGATAAAACCTTCAGTTTCCGCTTTCAACCCTGCACTACGTAGCCACTGATGGGTACGGGTTTTGTCTACGTCAGCTTGTTTGGTACGGGCAGAGTATTGGCCATGAAGCGGTTTATCTTGCCATCGCTTCTGTATTATTATTATTATTATTATTTTCTGCTTCGTTAACATTAGAACAATCAATATTAATTAATCAGATAGGATTATCATTACAATCGATATCACCATTATTACAACAAATAAAATTATGATAAGCCTTACAGGTAATTTTATTATTATTATTATTATTATTATTATTATTATTATTATCAGTAGCAGCATAACTATTATTATCCTGTTACTGCTTGTCCTCTCCTTCGTTAGTTAGTTAGTTCCTTAATTAGTTCGCATGACCGTTACACATTGCTAATACCTCATAAAAATGCACTATTCCGTATTGACCATGTGAAAACACGGAAATGACATATTAGAGACGCTACTTGGCTTCAGTGAAAGAAAGAAAGAAAGAAAGAAAGAAAGAAAAAGAAAGAAAGAAAGAAAGAAAGAAAGAAAGAAAGAAAGAAAGGTAGGTGTGTTTCACGTTTCCTGCCAACACCTCATAAATAATGGACTATTTCATTTTAATTGCGTGGAAAGAAAGATAAAAAAAAAACTCTATTTGGTTTAAGAAAGAAAGAATGAATGAATGAATGAATGAATGAATGAATGAAAAAAAAATAGAAGTATTTAACATCTATTTCATTAAAAAAAAATGTCAATTTCAGATCTTTACATAATTGTTATTGCAATATTTTGTTAAAGTTGTTACGCCAAAATATTCAACGATACGATGGAGGAATTTCCACGGATATTTTATTGTCGCAGAACTCACGATCTTCAAAGATACATTAGTCTGCAGAGACTGTCATGTCAATAAGGAGGCACATTTTGTTTTCGCGGTCTCTGATCACGATGTCTTTATTATTATTATTATTATTATTATTATTATTAATGATAATAATATTCTTACCAATTAACACTATTAACTATTGGCGGAGGCACGGTGGAGTAATAATAGATAGCGGCTCGGATTGAGGAATCGGAGAGCCGAGTTCGAATTCCAATTGAATCGATTCATTTACGTGCTAATACCCTTGGAAAAGGAGTGAATCTTCTTCTTCCCCAGCTATTGGTAAATAGCGAGACAGACCGGATTTGCTTTGGATGGCAACTGGTCTACTACAGAAAGAAATGACAACCTATTGTGGGAAAATAAATCTGCCTCGTCAGTCATGTATCAAAAGATACATGATCACCTAAGCGTGTATCACGTATGGCACATAACTGACTGATAATCACTGTTATATAACATTCGATAATATTTTTCTAAATTTATTAGCAAACTTTTTATATTCTAAATCTATTCATTAGCACCATTTTATCAATATCATTATAATTTTTAGCCTCGATAACCTTAGAACAATCAATATTTATTTTTTCCGATATGATTTTCATTAAAATTGATATCGCTCTTTATTATAACGAATAAAATGCCGTACAATTATTATTGTTATTGTTCTTATCAATATTGTCAGAATTAAATCTTTGACAATCATTATCGAAATATTCTTTTGTTATTTTGATCCCGTTAATATCAATATCTGCACTCGTTTTTAAAACGTTCGTCTTCCCTGCTGTCGCTATTATTTTTAAATAATCGATATCTGTGCATGAATCGACAAAACGAAGAGCATCGCCATATTTATTAGTCAAATAACGTCGACTTCGCATTCATCATGTCTGTCCACATTTTGAAATCGAGAAAAAAAAGTTTTAATGAAAGAAAAGCAAATCCGTTCTAATTGATTGGTTGGTTGTATTATATAATAGGACTTTCGTTCCCCCACAGGATTTTGATTGTTTTGATTAGAAAATGGTAAGTCACTTCACTCTCATGGCAGACATTGAGTAACAAACAAGACGATATCTTCTTCAAGAGCGATTTTGTTTCTTACCAGTTCTTCTAGATTAAATTTTTGATGGAATCAACCCAAAGATAATACACCACAAGAAACAATGACGTAATACAATTGATAAAAATGGAATAAGAATTTATTTAATTTTTTTCAAAACTTTCTATCACACACCACCGATATATATATATATATATATGTGTGTGTGTATGCATATATATATATATATATATATATATATATATGTGTGTGTGTGTGTGTATGTATGTATATATATATTTGTGTGGCTGCTTATGTGTGGGTATGTTTATATGTATGTAGTTGTTTATATGTATGCATATATGTACAGGTATATATATATATATATATGTATGATGTATTATATAATTATGAAGATTAATTAGATATATTGAATTTTATATATATATATATATATATATATATATATATATATATATATATATATATGCCTGTGTGCATATATGTTCTTGTATATGCTGTGTCCGAAGAGCGCTATTTTTTCCTTTAATAAGATTTCTCGAACATTCGGGCGCTAGGTGAAAAAAAACACTAAATACTATTTAATATATAAACGGACCGCCTACTAAAATACGAGTGCCCACTAATAATAACGTTTAAATTGATTACACACACACACATATATATATATATATATATATGTATATATATATATATATATATATAGATAGATAGATAGATAGATAGATAGATAGATATTCTATGTACTGTGTCTTTTCAGGACGTTGGTGATTATGACTCTCCACAATTTCCTGTCCTTTCCTTTGTATTTCTTGAAAATTTTTGTGGGTTTTTTTGTTATCTCTCCTATACCTTGTTCCGCCATCCATTTACTCAAGGTCGCTAGATAGGCTACGCGTTATTTTTCTCTGTTCCTCTTGCCTTCAATATGTACAATGGAGTATTAAATTTTCCAAGCCCTCTTTCCTCATTATATGTCCTAGAAATTTCATTTGGCTCTTTCCTGATGTTATGTATACGTGGCTTCTATATATATATATATATATATATATCAAGACTTAATGAATTTTTATTATTAATCCAACATTTCTTTATTATTTCAAATATTAATTTTTAGTGGATACCTATGTTTGAGTAGACGTCCTGTCTTTTAAACAGTATGCATTACGTCTACTGGCCTGAACGCTCTAGATGACTTAATAAAGAAATTATCTCTCTGGCAGAGTTCAGATCCCGCCCCCTTTGTAGGAGAAACCATCAGCTGAAACGATGTGCTGTAGACCGCCATGTTCTCCATGGTCGCGCGATCTAAAGGCCGCCGAAGAGCACATTTTCTTTTTTAAGTCTTCCGGGGGAGCAGACCGCTAGACGTAATAAACGGGGTGTTTACTCAAGCAGGTGTTTTCACTAAGAATAACACTTGAAGTAATAGAATTCATATATATATAAACCAGGTCGAAATAATTGTTTAGGACCAATGACTAAGCGCAGCTTAGATGTGGTGCTAGGTTGAAATTAGGGAACCACCCGGTGAGGATCGAACTCACTACCCAGTCGTAATTGCCTAACGAGACAAGCCTCTTAAACATTAAACCACGTCGAAATATCCGAAATGATTTTCTAAGCGTGGCTTAGATGTGGTGCAAGGCTTAAAATGTGGAGCACCCAGTGAGGATCGAACTCACTATTCAGTCGTAATTGCCTAGTGAGACAAGCTTACTAACCATTACACCACGTCGAAATATCCGAAATGATTTTCTAATCGTGGCTTACATGTGGCACAAGGCCGAAAATGTGGAGCACACAGTGAGGATCGAACTCACTACTCAGTTGTAATTGCCTAGCAAGACAAGCTTACTAACCATTACGCCACGTCGAAGAACTCTCTACTCTAGTGAGACAAGCTTACTAACCATTATACCACGACGAAATGCCCAGTTAATCGCTTATGTGTTCGTTACTGAATCTGACGCGTCACTATTGGTGAATTAAATATGCGGGAACCGATTTATCGTCATTGCTGGACAAACTACTACGGTTGTCAAAGCAAAACCATTTCTGCATAACAGAAAAAAAGAAAAATTGTTATCGAAGAAAAACTCTAATCATTTCATATCTCAGACTAAAAAAGCTTTACGAAAACATTTGCTCTGAAAAATCGAAAGTTTTGGAAAATATGAAATAAGTTTGTTCCAGAAACTTTGAAGACAATATTCTTAATAAAATGAGAGCAGGAACAGAATCCTTCCTTCATGACAACTTCCTATCCTTTGTATCTTGGAGCAATATTATTGCCCTTATTATCACTGCCAGTCCCTGTTCTCTGATCCATTCACACAAGCTCGATACGTTGTCTTGCTCGCTGTTTCCTTCAGCAAGTCCTATGAGTTTCAAATTCTCCAAGCCCTCTTTCCTCATTATGTTCCCCAGGAATTTTAACTATCTCTTTCTGATTCTAATTGCAAATGTCATTTTTGTGTCCATTATTCTAAAACTTCCTCGTCGCTCACATGTCATGTCTGTGTTATTCTCAACATCCTTCTCTAGCGCCACACCTCTGTTACCTGAAGTCTCCGCTTCATCTGTGCATCTTTCCAGCATCCATCGCTATAAGGGAGGATTGCTACTACATAGCAGTTCAGAACTCTTTTCTTTATTTGTAACGAAATTTTCCTTTTTCTTAATGCTTTCCTTGGCTTTAGGAAGGCATCTTCGTTATCCCAATGCGCCTTCGGATTTCAATGTCATATTTCCCTTCGTCCGTTATAACACCTTCACAATTGTTAAATTTCCTTATAAAATTTCCTTCAACTGGCCATCATGAACACAGTCCATCTTTCAAGGAACATCTTCTTTTGATGAGACTCAACAGCCCAATGTTTAAACACAGAAGGGCAATCCTCTTGATAGACATATTTTATATTATAGATTTTCTATAGCACAATCTGTAGCAAAGGCAAAAATCATACTTATTATAAAACCCAGGTTGTGTGTGTGTGTGTATGTCTGTTCGTTTATATATTGGATCGGATTTCCTACATTTTTCAACCGGTTTCAACAAAACTTCACAGGACTACGTAAAATTATCTTGCGGTGGTTCTCACAGCGCCAAAAATTGGAAAAACACAATTGTTTTTGCACGAAGTCAATTTGAAAACACGATTAAGAGGCATCGCTGTCGTGAGAATGAAAGGGGGACAACTCATATCGAGTTATATACTTATTATAAAAACCCAGGTTGTGTGTGTGTGTGTGTGTGTGTGTGTGTGTGTGTGTGTGTGTGTGTGTGTGTGTGTGTGTGTTCGTTTATATATGGGATCGGATTTCCTACATTTTCAACCGATTTCAACAAAACTTCACTTTTTTTGGCAGGTGTTTCTTATTGTCTTGCACACTTTTTTTTTTATTTTACATTCAGAATGCTTTTAAAATTCCATTTACAAGACAATTGTTTATAATAAAATTCTATTCAATCGGTAGATTCATAACGATTGAAAACAATGTTTTTGTTTGAGTTTGGGTTTGACCAATTCGTAAAAAAAAAAAAAATACTAATTAAGACATGCATGTCTGTCAACCTTAAACAATAATCTTTGTCAATTTTATTTTTCAGTATTTATGATGGTCGATACT